AGTTAGGGTCAAAGTTAGCTTTGTGTGATTTGTATAGTGATTTACTATAAAAAATTCGTTTATTATATATTTAGAACAATTGTGATAAGATACCCGAGTCAAGACTGAGAATAATTTATAGCCGCTAGTAAGTTAATTAGATAAGGTTAAAGTTAGTTTTGCATTGGATTTTTGTAATTTGTATGGTGATTTACGTAAAAAATTTGCTTACTGTACTTACAGGGCGATCGTGATGACATATTTGAGCCAACTGATAAGTGATTTAGATTGGATTTTTGTAATTTGTATGTGATTTACTATAAAAAATTCAGTTACGTTACTTACAGAACTATCGTGATAACAAAGATCGAGAAAAATTTGTAGCTGCTGGTAAGTGATCTAGATAGGGTTAAAGTTAGCTTTTTGATTCGTATAGTGATTTAACGTAAAAAATTCAGTTACTATACTTACAGATAATATGCCTGAGTAACCGCTTTATATTTGATTATGTGTTGTATAGTGATTCATTATAAAAAAAAATCAGTTACCATATTTAAAGAACTGTTTTGATGGTATACCTGAGCCAAGGCCAGAATGAGTTTGTAGCTGCCAGTAAGTGATTTAAGTTAATATTGTAAAATGATTTAGATTAAATAATTTAACTATTTTATGTACTAATTAATGTAGTAACAAAAGTGATTTAAATAGTAGTAGTTACATTTACTGTAAATTTCTGTTACCAGATTAACAAATAATAAATATATATAGCATTATTAGTTAATTATTGATATATTGCCCTGTTACAACGCCGTTATACCTTGAGTTCTATTTTTTTAGTTCAGTCAATAAATTCTTGTTCGTATTAACCTTTTTTTTTATTGGCGTCTTCTGTAATTTATTTATCATGAAAGCTTATATTCAGAACCCTTTTCTTATTTTTTATCACTGCCGAATTAAAAACTTTTGGCCAAATAATCATTCAGTCAATTTTTTATTACAAGCCGTAATAAATAAGGAATTTGCAACTGGCCTTATATTTGTAGATGTATCAAGAGTACTCTTACTGATCTTTTCAATAGCATTTTTTTTTTTTAAGATTAAAGATAAATTAGGGCAAAATGCATATTTACAACAAAGGTTCCTTTAAATTTATTATAAATATAACCTTATAATTAGTGATAGCAATTTATAAAATTTAAATCCTATTTTAAATTTAAGACAATTAAGATGTTTTACTAGTTATATAATTCATTTATTTGTCAATTTTTTTTTTTTTGTGTTAAACCCCACCAGGGACGCCAATAATGTACTTGTTCTAAACCTATTTTAATAATAACATTATTAGCATTAATTCTCTTAACATTATTCACAAATATAATAAGGAATTTAAACTAAATAAATTTACCATCAAACTATTTTTTTTTGGCTTGGGTTGGTCAGGCATTTTACAGTAAAGATTACGTTTCTCTGGATTTAGAATATACAGCACTACTTCTTCGTGCAAATACCACTGCTATTCTAAACTAATTCCTTGTGGAATAATTATATCTGGAAAAACCAATTCACCCTTTTTAGTTTTTGGAATTAAAGAAACTCTAGCGATTGAAATTTCTGTTTCATTACTGTTGAATGATCTTTGAATTTTTATTTACCAGGATGATCACGGGACATAATAAAGTGATGCTGCATAAGAATAGACAGAACTTGTATAAAAAACTGATCCAAAAATTGATTCCAATTATAAAATGTAATTTTTTTACTTCCATTAGAATCAATAATAGTATCTGCCTTGTTATATTCACCAGTCGTCGATTGTTCAACAATATGCATTAAATTGTTTAAATCATCAGCTTCTGAATTTCTAAGTTTTAGTTTGAACAACCTGAAAAAGCCATCTGGGCCAAATTTCGTATGACCGGGAACCATAAAACTATATGTGATTTTGTCGTGCAGACTACTCATTATTCTCCAACAAAGGTACTTGATTATCGTATTGTTTTTGTTTTGACCCACACAATTGTCTGCATGAATAACTATACGTTTTTCGCCAAGGCCATAGTTAGCAAAATAATGGTAGACAAGAGATACTATGGTGTTTGGACTTTTTCCAATGCTTTGGTGTTTTGGAATAAGGTAATTAATCTAAAAAATAATTATTGTAAATTCTAAATGCAGGTTTTTAAATCAACTTTTATAAGAACTTAGCATTAAATCAAAATTAAAATATTTAGGTGCTCTCACGCATCTTCTTCAATATGATCAGCTAGTAAATCCGTGAATAAAATGAATATTTAATTAAAAGCTGAGGTTAGCTCAATGAATATTCACGAAATCCATATAAATTCAGATATTCATTCACTAATATTCGTGAATAACTAAAACCTGGGAATTTCAGTAAATGACTACAATCGATATTCAAAGGATCCAGCTCTACTAACTTGATCGTCTAAATTATTTCTACTAATTAAAAAATTAAGCACTTATCTATTAATTTAGATACTTGAGAGCACTTTTAATATATATGCTTCAAAACAAATTAGAAATACAGTATACTATACGCGAGCATTTTTTATGCAAGGTAATATCATGTGAATCACGTGATAAAAGCTTTTCAATTGGAATTATTTATTACCTCAAATAATCAATAAGCAATAATTAATGTATAGCCAGACTCTTTAAATAAGACCATATATAAAAATTAAGTCAAACATGCATTTAGAGGTATTGTATTTAAGGGGTAAAAATCTACAAGTTGGACCAAGAAAAGACATATATTTAGAAAGGTTTTTATAGGCCAATGAATTTTAGGAAGGTTGCATTTAGAGGGTCCGACTGTACTTGTAAAATTATCCCAATTACCTGTCGTGGTATGGCTTCCTCACAGATACCAAATACTTCGACCTTATAAAGCGACTTAAAGTAAATAGCACCCTCTTGTTGTGTGAAGTAAGGAATATGTACATTCTCCATAAAATCCCACAAAACATGGTTTTCAATGTCAATTAAATTTGGAATTCCAGATCGTGAAAGATTAGTTAAGGAAGTTAAAGCTATTTTAGTTCTAGAAATACAATTCCTAAAATTTATAATAAATATGAGTGCTGCTCATTACAGATCAGTATAGTATAGGTTCACATTTTACCGACAATTATTCACTGACAAGTTCATTTCACCAATATTTATTTTACCGAAGCTCATTTTGCAAAGTAATTCTGGTCAATATCATGCTAGAATTAGAGTTAAATTTAGTGTAATTTATAAAAAAAAACTTGTTAATAAATGAGCTTCGGTGAAATGAACTGTCGGTGAAATGAACTTGTCAGTGAATAATTGTTGGTGAAATGTGGTGTCTACGAAGTCAGTGAAATACTATAATATGGATCCCAGTACAATTCTCAAATCTATACTATACTAGAGATGTTAATCGGTTCTGCAGTGATTTTGAACAAGATTTGTAAAAAATTGAAGTTATAGAAAGTAATTTTTTTGTAATATTTTTTAATTTTTAGACTGCAAACCGATTTTATTCCTGCATTTTACCGAAAATTCATTCAGCCGACATCACATAGGGCTAGGGTTAGCAGCAGGTATACATTTTCAGTAAATTGTTATCATGATGTCAAAAAAATGACTATAGGTGAAAGTAAGGCGGTTTATATATATAGTATATAGAATTAATTAATTACCTATAGTTATCGCATTCTAAACATACCCAATTATAATGGTTAGTCCATTTATTTAATTTTTGTGATGTTTCATCTCTATTCCAATATTTTGCTTCAAATCGTTTTTTCTTACAGAGCATGCATAAGTCATTGCGCAATATCATGAATTGAATTCCAGGAAGATACCTCTTCCAAATACGTTCAAAACTCGATAAACTAACTTCATTTATTTCATCATGTTTTATGTTATTGTAAATTTGGTATAAAGATCTTTTGCTTTCACATGCAGGTAAATAGATGATCTCGCGAGTATTATCCCGAAAATTGCAACCTAAAAATTTAATTATCTTAGTAATTAAAGTATTCAAAATATAAGTGAATTTTGATAAGTATAAAAAAGTGGTCGGGTCCATAATGAAAATTTACAAATTTTTTTATTTCGAGAGTTTATTAATAACTCTTATATCAAGTGAGCCTATGATCTAAATGACCTATATGACCTATATGACCTGTCATAGGTTATATTAAAGATTGATATAATTTATGATCTTTTTAATATAGTAAGAATAATAGTAAAAGTATTTTTTATTAGCATTTAATACAGTAATATAACCGATATGACTATAACAAAAGTCATATGATTATATGATCGGTTATACATACAGAAAAAAAAAGCCATGACATAGATCATCAGCCAACACTAATCTCTCTTATAAAGAGTTTATTATATCAAAGGTTCTTACAGTGAGAGTTATTTATATATTTATATAAATCACATATTATAACTCACAGCCTTGTTTCAATAACAATAATTTATCATTATACTATCCTGTGTACTAACACTAATACAGGGTGATACATTGCTTACCAGGTGATGGGAGTCTATGTTGATTAGCAAAATTTGCAAGTAGTTGAAAAAGAAATTGCATGATTATTAACACGTCCAGTTAAGCTATGAATTTTTGGTTTAAGACCAAAATTTTGATAGTGGGTACGTAAAGCCTCTCATCACCTTTTTTGAATATCATAGATTGTATACCAAGCTCTTTGGCAAATAACGACACTTTTAAATCTATAGTTCATTGTCAAATATGCTTTTGGTGTTCCATTTTTGAATTCTGTAGTATGCATGCTGGCATCAATTATTCCAAGAAAGTATAAGCTCGATTCACTTTGTGTTAATGTTTTCATTTTTTGAAATCTTTTAAGCACTGCCTGGGAATCAACAGTTAAAAGACATCTTTTGATACAACAAGTGAATTGTTGCAACTTCTCTAAAAACGCATCATCATCCCGTTTATCTAACTTCTTATTACGAGTTTTTTCATCTTCTGCTATTACACGCATTGGATAGAGCACATACGTTCTATGAAAATGTTCAATTTGTTTGGCTGTAAAATAATTATCAACATATACGACTAATGCTTCTGAAGTTCTATCATAGGTTTCGTTATCAATAAATTCATTATCAGACTCTTCATCCGAGTTATCATTGGTTAAATAAGTATCTTGAAGTTTAGAGATTTCACTGTTTAAACATTCCAATTCACTGTGGGTTTTAGCGAAGATGTTTTCAAATACGTTTTTATTACTTTTATTAGCTGCCATCAAAAAAAAGAAATTTGGATAAATCACTTGTTATAAAGATAATACGATAAGAAGTAATATTAGAGAGTTTTATATGAATGGTTTTTATTTACTACTTTACGATTATTAATACATATCTAAAATTACTCTAACTTATTATACACTTATAAATAACCTTTTGGTATGTTAACTTACATGTAAGCGTATGGTACGTATAATATAAACTGGCTTGAAACCAAATAGAACCTCCCAAAATTTGGTGTCTTTCTTGTAAATTTTTACTTCTTAAAACCTCTAAATGCATGTCCACCTTACTTCACCGATAGCTCATTTAGCCGATATTACGCCAAGTGACAATTTACTAAAAATACCTACAACTACAGCTAAATGAACTTTTGGTGAAATAACTATCGGTAATATAAGCAGAATTTTGGCTTACACAATTTTTACATATGATCCAGTCTCAATACATTTAGAGAAGTCTGATGGTGCTTATTATGCTTAATAAACATAAAAAATTGTTAGAATACTTCAGGCTCCGCCTTTTTTGCAAATCTTTATTCACAATAAAATCATTTTTGATTTTTACACGTATTTTCATAATGAAATCTATGCAAAAAGAGAAAGTACGCATCAATTAAAGTTCAAAACAAGAAATGTTTTCAGAACCAATAATACCCTTATACTTATCTAAAAATGGATTAAGTTCTGAAATTCTTTACTTCTCAATCTATCACATGTTATTCCTTTAGCGTATACTGCAGCCTAATACTCTACATATACGTGTCCATCATATTTCTAATACTGTATATTCATTAACAAAATGGATTATTATTTTTTTTGAGATTGTTCAGGTATTACGTACGATTTCTATTCCACCTGTGTTCAAAAAGAAAAAGTTAAAGACAATAAGAAAAGAAATAAAAAAAACGCAAAAACAAGAATATAATAAAAACTCAAAAGCCATAACCAACTTATATTAGCTTTGAGATCTCATTCAGACTCATGTTAATAGAGATCTTAAATATATAAATCTATGATACAGTATAATACTGTGAGACCTACTGTATAAGTATGAAATTATGCCCACCTGCGCATTATTTTGAAATAAAAGAAGATTTTCTAAATTCAATACAGTCAACTCCAATAAATACAGTTGTTTGTGGAGTAGTTAGCACTACGTGTAACAGTGGTTGTTACAGAAGGTTCTATTACACAAAGGTTGTGCGTGTAAATCCGCGATTGGCAAGGTAGCACCA